GAGAACGCAATAGCAGTGTGGATGTGTGTGTTGGTTTTTTTGGAAAACTCTGCAGTGTAGACATACCCTGGGGCGCAGCGCAGTCTGCCGTGCCAGGCCAGGCAGGCAGCTGCCTTCCTGCCCCCCCGCTCACCTGATCTCCCCACAGCCACGAGCCCCAGGGCCCATTCCCCTGTCTAGTGCTGGGGGGCGACCTGTCGTTTGAAAATCCCTGCGTTAGACTGCAGACTGGGGAAGCGATTTCTCCCTGCATGTTTCTGTAACGCTCTGACTCTCCGTTTCCCCAGCTACGATTTTCAAACCTGGCTTGGGATTTTCATTGCCCGACTCTGGAGATAAGGTCCCGAGTTGTAACAGGGCAAGTGATTAATCACTGGGGAGCGGTGGTTTTTCTGTCTCTTGCTGTCTCAGGTGCAGACTGGAGGCCTGGCTGGAAGAAATGCTTTAGCCCAATACAGGGGTCAGGGTGTAAGCAATGAGCTGTTGAAGAAGAGGATCTTTTCTGGATCCTCTTTTGAGGAGCTACATTGTGTGTCTCAGGTGGGACCCCCAAAATCCTGTTTGCAAATGTCAGACTCTTGCCTGTGAGAGGAGGGTCATAAAACTTCTCCTTCACACCTGCATTAGGTGCTCAGACAATGCACCGACACCTGCCATAGAAGCCACTGCAACCCAGGTTTTGACTTGAAAACTAAAAGCAGAATGCAGGGCTTAGTTTTGCATTCGAGTTTTGGGGACAGCTGTGTGTGTGTGTACGCGTGTTTGTTGGGGGCAATGAAAAATGCCAGCGCTTGTGTGATTTGCATTCGAGTTTTGGGGACAGCTGTATGACCAGTGCTTGTGTGACTGACCAGGAGAGACTCAGATGCCATCCACCTGATTAGTAGAGTTCCCAAAGCTGGCAGCAGGCGTTTCTACTGGTGGTGCACATCCACACATGCCTTGGTGCACAGAACAACATTTATTCTGCACACAGATGGAAAAAATTGAAGAGAACCTTGCCCAGCGCTGTCTATTGCTCGTGGAGATAACATTGTGAAGGCATCAGCCCACCTTGCCTGGGGGGCAGGGGAAGTCCCAGAGAACCCTTTTCCACCCGTTACCTAAGACACAATGATTCATATTTGCCTGTCCCAGTGATTACCAAAGCTTTGTTTTTGTAGGAAACTTTAGCAGTGAGGGATGCCAGCTCACCACGGACTGTGGTGTTGTTGTCAAAGTGGAAGAGAAAACAACTCGTTTTACTACCGGCTCTTTCCTAGGAGTTATTTCCATGGGGGAGGAGGGGGTTGCCCCAAACATGCGGCTGGGGTGGCGCACACACCCGACTGAGTCAAACGCAGCCAAGCAGCATGTGGCCGGCTGCTCCCGAGATGTGGCAGGAACAGAGGATGAGTCTGGTTTCCAGGAATGTGACTGGCACAGAGTACGGAGGAGGGTGCTCAGGCCCCTGAGGCCCCGAGTTAAGGTTCTGCCTGCGATGTCACACCCATATTGCCATTGGAAGGGCGGGTTCTTGCCGGGCCGTGGCCCTGGCTGTGACACAGGCTGGCTGCGCTCTGCGGTGACTAGGCTCTTAATGGAAAAGCCCTGGTAGCTCATCTTGAAACCCCCTCGGCCAGGGCAGAGTCCCCAGACTGAGCGCACGTGCCCTGGGCCGCAGGCAGCTCATCTGAACTCCGCCGCCAGGCACCGCCGCGTAAGAGCCCCAGCCAGGTGAAAGGCCGGCGGGAGCCCAGGCCAGAGGGCTCCGAGGGAAGAGGGCAGGATGGGCTATCGACAGGTGCTGAGTCTAAAGCAGCCCTGAAGCCACCCGGGGCTTTTCGACATGCCCCGAGGCAGAAAAGCCCAAGGGGAAGTGACAGCATGTGTGCACCAGGCACAGGGCAAGTACTGAGCCAACCAAACCCAGGAGAAATTCCCAAACTGAGGCCGCCTCATGCTCGGGCTCCGAGGGAAGAGGGCAGGATGGGCTATCGACAGGTGCTGAGTCTAAAGCAGCCCTGAAGCCACCCGGGGCTTTTCGACATGCCCCGAGGCAGAAAAGCCCAAGGGGAAGTGACAGCATGTGTGCACCAGGCACAGGGCAAGTACTGAGCCAACCAAACCCAGGAGAAATTCCCAAACTGAGGCCGCCTCATGCTCTTTTTTCACATTCAGCGGACGGTGTCTCGGGCCTTGATTGTGTTTCCAATGGTTAGAGCAGGAGCGTGGGAGTCTGGACTCTCAACTGGTGCCCAGGTTGCTGTTTGGACTGGGAGTACAGGGGTCTGAGGCTGCCTAGGTGTGCAATGCTGGGCAGTCTGCCAGCCCCCCCGGTCCCCACTTCTGTGCAATGAGGACAGTATGACTGGCCGCCCTCCCCAGGAGCTCTGCCATTAAATGGAAGGGGCTGGGGAGTGCAAAGCAGCATCCCGGAGCCCGGGCTAAGAGAGAGGGACAATAACAGAGTCACGGAGAGACCGGCGACTTCAGTCCATGTCCCTGCCTTCGCTCGATGGCAGGCACCTGCTTTCTGTCTTGCACTAGCATTTAACAAATCCATTTTCAGAGCATATGAAAGATTTTTTATCTTCATTTTTGACCGTTATTTTGCCTGCTCTGAATGACAGAAAAACCCTGATAGGCCCCAGGGGTCCTAGCTTTGATTGCCCCTACTGTAACCACTAGGAAGACTGCCCCTACTGCAACCATCCCTTGCAGACTGGGAGCAGATGCCAGCCGTGCCAACTTCCAATCCCGCCAACTGCTAGACACCCTCCCTTGGGCAAGAGGCGCGTGTACATCCATGGACACAGGGTAGCCACCTCTCTAGCTCTGAACCAACAGATTCTTCTCTACGTAAAATCGGAGCTAGTAAAGATCTGCAGCCTTAGGGGCACTCCATCCGTCATTCATTCACCATCACCCTGGCCAGTGCAGGCTGGCTCCCTACAGACTGTCCCAGGGAGCAGTCCCATGGCACCTTGCAGGCTAACAAGTATAGTGTCATGAGCTTTCATGGGCAAACCCACTCCCTCGGGTGGGTTTTTCAAGTTACGGACTGACGCAGCCACTCCTCTGAGACTGTCCCATGCAGGTTTGCAATGCAATCCCTTTCTAGCACTTTGAGCCAGCTAGTTCGGTGCCACCCCATTCAACAGCCAGACAGCCAGCACTCGCTGTTAGTAAACGTCCCCGGACAGCCAGCCTCAGTTCTTCCCCGGCTCATTTCACTCCTCATTTCACTCCTTTCCTCCTGTGCATAAACGAGTTATTGTGGTAGCATCTCAGAAACCCAGCCAGTGCCGAGGACCCGCGAGCTCCCTGTGAATCACAGTACGTGACAGACTCTGCTAGCATTGTCTTACGCCCTAGATTGTTCTATGGGGCTGCTTGTGAAGTCAGGTACCGCACCACCCAGGATAAGGGCGGTGGAAACAGGTACCAAAGGATTTGTTACAAAGTGTTCACCCAGATCTAATAGACATTGTAAAATGATTCCTTGCCCCACACATATACTGATTGATCTATTGAGGGATGCATCTCCCTTCACAGTCCTAATGATACCGCAGAACATTGTTCCCCTCTTCAACACACTTGTGTATTCTGGCCACAAAACACAGCAGCATATGCCTCACGAATGATACAAACAGTTGTCACATGCAGGTGTGAGTACCATAAACCCTTACATCACTTCTCCCCAAGCCATAGGGAAACATACATACCCCCAGCGCAGCACAACGAAATGATCAGCAACAGGTGTGCACTGCAGTCCATCTCTCGGCGCATGGAACTTTGCTTGCAGTGGACTTTGTATTTAAAGGGCTGCCTTGGGGTGAGCATGAGACCAGGTCAATTCAGCTAAGATGAAAGCTTCTCAGATGCCACGCGTTTCCTGTTTTCATTCTGCCGTGTCTCCTCTCTCGTTTTTTCAGAGTGGAAAATATTCAAAGTCTCTAGAGTCACAGTCCTTAATGCTTTACTGCACCGCTCCCCAGCAGTCCGGACATATCTCTAAGGCCATGTCTGCAGATACATAGCTGGTAGCGGGTTCATACAGAGCCAAACAAAACAAAAAGCAAATGTTAAGTAATGGCCAAGGTCTCTTACCTGAAAAACCCACCCGGTTCAGGTCGCGAACAGCAAAGAATGACCAGGATGAAGCTCCCTTCCACAGCTAACAACACACTGGCACCCAAACAATTTCTGCACCACACATAATGCTGGGAGGGAGCTCTCAGACCACAGAAGCGTCATTTCTATCCCTCTAAGAACTCCAAGCTCTCCCTAGCCCAAGCACATACCAGGAATAGACAGCATGAACCATGCAGACAGCACTGGTCAATAGAGCAGCATCCACACACCCATAACTCAGGCCCCACAAAATTAGGAGACTGGCCTATAAATCAGGAGAGCTTCGTAAAAATAACAACAAAACCGACATCACTGAGAGTGTTTGCTTTGGGTTCTGTTCCGCCCTTTTAGCTGCTCGGTTCATGTTTTCAAACTTTTCTCTGCAACCAGGAGGTACTTTTTCAGAAATTAGCAGATTCACCCCCCGTTGCTCAGGTCTTTAACTCAATGAAGGGTGGTTGTTGGTTTTTTTTAAAGAAAATTGACACACTTTATTGAAATGAACATTTTTTTTAAATGCAGAGTTATTTTTATTAAGTTATTTTTTATTCTGGATTTCTTTTAAAGGAGATTGTTAATTTTCCAGTGAAGTTATTTTTAGCAAATTTCTTTAAATAGGAATTCCATCAAGTATATTTTTTCTTCATCCCTATACACTTTAATAAACTTTAATCATTCACAATGATTTTATTTTTAAAGGCCTTAGTCAGTGTGGTTTCCAATAAGATTTCTTCTAGTTTTCAAACCTTATGCATTAATTTAACTGTGCCAAAACAGAACAGTACTCCACATTTCTCCATTTCATCTCTTCTGTGAGGGTTAGCAAGAAACATTCCTATTGCAGATTCATCCTATTTTTCTGGCTCATCTTTGTTCAGCCTCTTTCAACATTCACTCAGTTACATCCATTTTGAGGACTTGATTTGATTTGGTGAGTTTGCCTCCTTTCTATTGTGAGACGCAATCCCATTCTGGGCGCATCCCATTGTCCTGACACAACCAAGCTCTTACTTTGCTTTCCGTTATGATCAGAGGAAGCTATTTACTGAATCTAGTGGCCCTAGCTCTTACTGTTTAGGAGGAGTTCTTGATCAAACAGACACTATCCTCTAAAGTACATAGTCGTTGAAAACTCAAATTTTCTTGCAAGCTCTTCAAGCCAGAAGCTTTACGGAAGGTCCCAGATGCTTTGAGACGTGCATTGTTGGGAACACTACAGAGGCCTGAGGTAAGGGGTTTACATTACAGTCTGGACAGGACCCATGGGAGCACTGTGCCCTCTTTCTGCAGGATCCTGCAGAAGCCTTTCCTCCTCCTTTTGCAACACAATCCAGGACTGAGCCTCTCAGCTTTGCTTATGCACCTGTGAGAAGCCAGCCTGCGGGAACGCTTTTAGTGGCATATGAGTAAAGAGCTCACCAGCCTGAGACCATCTGCCTTATGCACTTTATTCTCTGAGCACACCACAGGTTTTATCTGCAAACAGCCTCACACGGCCCTGCTAGCAGCTCCGCTTTACAGGCTGAGGACAGAGGCCCAGGAAGTAAGTGACTTTCCCAAGGTCACACAAAGTGCCTGTAGCAGTGACCCGTATCAGAGGGGTAGTTGTCTTAGCAGGCCTGCCGACAGGGGGAGGCAAAGGGGCAGATTCCCTGGCACCTGGGAAGTAGCAGTGGTGGCAGCCGGAGTCCTGGGCCCTTTAAAGTGCCGCTGGAGAGCCATGCTGCATGCTAAGGCCCAAAGGTGGGGTGGGGGCAGCACCATGCTCCAGGCAGTGTTGAGACCCTGCCCCTTCCAGGAGCAGGGGGGCCCCCTCCTGCCTGGCCGGGGGGGAGGATGGAGGCTGTTGGCTCCGCTGTGTTAGTCTGTGGCACCTTACGGACTAACCCGCTTACTTGGGCGTTCACTGCTGTGGTGAAAACCCTCCTCCTCAGATACAGAGTGGAAACTGAACCCACCTCGGTCACACGCGGCGCGATCTGGGCATTTCACCTCCAGCCTCAGCTGCTGCCCCACTGCGGGGCCATGGTCCAGGAAAGCTCCTGCGCTGGGCTCCTGGCTGCTCAGCTGTCGCCCCACCTGGGCAGAGACCCCGGCTCCCTCCTGCCTGCCTGGCGCTCTCCAGGCTGAAGCAGCCCCGGCTGCAGTGGGTTTCCCAGCAAGCCAGACGCCTCTCCAGCCTCAGAGGAGAAAGCAAACAAGCAAACCACCAGCAGCCCCACGTGGCCTACAAGCCATGGGGGGGGGGGGGGGCTCTGAGGGCTTCCCCCTCCAGCTGCCCCCCCTCCAGCAGCCCTGCATGCCCTACATGCTGTGGGGGGAGCAGGCTGCGGGGGGGGGGTTCTATCCTCCAGCTGCCCCCCCTCCAGCAGCCCTGCATGCCCTACATGCTGTGGGGGGAGCAGGCTGCGGGGGGGGGGTTCTATCCTCCAGCTGCCCCCCCTCCAGCAGCCCTGCATGACCTACATGCTGTGGGGGGAGCAGGCTGGCGGGGGGGGGGGTTTACCCAGCTGCCTCCTCTCCCCGCAGCTTGCAGGTTGTCCCGGGAGG